ATCTGGACAAATTTGATATCACGTGAAGCTGGAGGTGAAGTTTCTGCTCAGCTCAGAGCTGCTCTGATAGGTCCTGGAAAGGAAACCCCAACTCCTGTTCATTTAGGAGCAAGGTGTGCAGGGCCGGACTGTCCCCAGGCACTTCATTTTCATGAAACAGAAAACCAACTCATGCCTTGAGAACAGACTGCTAGTTTTTCCAACTGATAACTGGTGAATATACTGGAGACCAAGGATTCTAACTGAATCTTGAAGTACTGCTACAAGAATGAGTTTGAGGCAGGCAAAGCACACAGGTAGTGCAGAACTGCACCACTGTGCACTTGCACATCCCTTAGGCAGTTGAGTCTCTCCCACTGCTTCTACCTTAATACATGTTTCTTATTTTTCAATTCACACATCCATTTGATAAAATCAAAATCTGGTTTTATATAACTGGGAAAATAAAACTCTAACAAAAGAACTCCAAAACCACAGATGTAAAATTATTTTTGAGATGTATCATTCCCTCTATTGTCCATCTACTTGATTAACAGTCCTTACTCTGTAATTCCTTCCCTGGTGAAATCAAGAGGCAAGTCCAGCATCCATGTCTGACCACAAAGGGAATGGGGGAAATGCAGTCTGTGGGGAAATTTTAAGGAGCATGATTTTGTGCTTTCCCTGATTAGAAAATACATTAAAAATAAAACTTTAGAAGCTTACCTAAGAGAGAAGGAGAGAAGATTAATAACTTCACTTACATGAATCCCAAATTTAAAAATACATCTAAGATTAATGGGTGGGAATAAAACTTGTTCTAGTGAGCCCCATTCCTCAGTAATTCCCATTTGCTGGGAAAAAGGTAAACTCTGTTATCGGGGAAGTCACTCTGTTGAAGAGAGCCATTTTCCCAATCAGAGTGTGAAGCATGACATATCCTACTCTTAAATCATTTATATTTTATTTTTTTATGATGCAATCATGAATGAGCTTTTTCTGCATTTGTAATGAGAGAAYAGAACAGATGGTCAGGGCTTAGTTCAGGGTGATAAATCCATTAAGACAACCTACAGAAAGCTGCTGCTATGGCACTTGCTGCCAAATAAGTGCAGATTCAGTTCATTCAGTTCATTCAGTTCATTCAGTTCATTCATTTCAGCTTTGGGTAATGTGTAGAAGAACCATCTCAGTTCTTCACTACCTTGGGGTACAAGGGATAAGAAATCACACAAAGTTTGTGGGATGTATTATWACTGTCTATGTRGCYCAAGAAACTTGGATGGTRTGATATGGGGATGCATAGGGCAATGCAGAGAATTAGCCTGGATTTGTTGTTTCCCAATGGCTTCCCCTGAAGTTGGACGCACTCCACACCAGACTGCACGTTTGCTTTTACCTGAACCAGTGGCTCAATTGCAGAGTGGAGTGTTCTATCAAGGAGTGACTGCATACTATCCATGAATTCATTCCTTCACGTTTTGCAAGAAATTTCTCAAAGCATGTAGAATCCTAGAATAATTTCTACTGGACAGGACCTAAAGAGGGCATTTGGTCTAATCCAACTCAAAGCATTTGTCACAGAGGACCAAACATGTAGGTCCAACTGGACCCTTCCAAYTGGAACTATTCTATTCCAGTCTGTTCTGTTCWGTTCAAAAYCTACCCTTAGAATCCAACWGAAGGCTYYCACTTAAGCTAGTYCACAAATAAATCTTATWATTTTCTAAAAACAAAGGTTAGAATAAGCAGGTATCCTATAGTTTATGATTAGCAAAAAGAGATATAAACCATAAAGCAAACAAAGCAAAGAGTTGTGTGTTCATTATTTCTGACAATGTCTTTGGCCAGAATCACATCAGGGCYATAAATGAACCTAAGCAGAATCCATAGATCAGCTTCAGGGAGGTTCAGATCTGCATTCAGTCTCTGTGTGCCCCTGGAAACCAGCAATACCCTTTTCCAAGGCACTTCGACACTTCTGCTTCTACTACATTTTGCCGAAATCCCTTTCCATCACCGGAATTCAGCACCAGAGCATTAYCACATATCTTTAGACAGTGTTYCCATGTGKAAACAGTATCTCCMTATACCAAGAGCTCAGAGTTTCATCACACCTGAGTGGCTAAGGCTGGCTGTGGAGTTGTATGGATYAGAGGAGAGAGAAGACCCTGCTGARGAAGGACGTGGAGTTACTGCACTGTCTCCTACAAAAGCATTGAGGGTTCCTGTGGGGAAAACAGAGCTCCCCACAGATACAAGCTACCAGTGAAGTGCTTATGCTAGGCCCCTGTTCTTCACTCCCCAGGGACCTGGGCACACAGCACCACTACAAATGACAGGTCCAAGACAAATTCTTGCATGTTGAGCTCCMACGTTTCAGTGGAAGCACCCTATAGGTACACTAGGTATGACAAAGTGAGCAGAGGAAAACTGATTGCATACAAATGCATAAAAATTAAACCACCACAATTTCAGTGTTCTCTTCCATACGTAGTAATGTCAGGGGGCTTTATTAACAAAGCTTTGTAAGCAGATGTTTGMATTTGAGCAGGGTTCATTTGACTTCTGTTCCTCACTGCTTCCTGGCTGACTGCTCAGTATCTGCAGTGTAGGCATTACGTGATGCTTTGCTTGTCCCCAAAGCCATCAGTCAAGAGAGGTGAGCAGGGAAATGGTTTACTTGGATCCCAAATAAATATTAGCAGGATAGTCTGGACTGTGACTGCTCCCCTTTTCCCTCCTGCTCTCGCCTACACGYGCTGCTGCTGCTGCCTCGGCACAGAGCTACACTGTGGGAGGAGCTGAGGAGCTTCTCCCCATCCACGTGTGTCTAATGGGACACTGCTTTGGATGAGGCCCCTTCCCTGGATGCAGCTTGTGTATGTGCTGGAGTCAGGTGGCATTTTTAACAAAAAATCTGCTGAATTATGACTCRGGGAGAATTTACTTGAAAATTTACATAATGTAGCTAGAGGAGATTTTTAACCACTTCCCCTAGTGCATAAGGGAGAAAAAAAATAAGAGGAAAATTAAGTAACAGCTTAATTGGCTTTTAGAACAGTCTATGGGGAAAAAGGCAGGCTGGATGTCTGCCTAGCTACACGGCTTGGTGTGTGCTGTAACCATGGGAGGCARCATTACAGGCATGACAGGACAATGATTTGATTTTTCAGCACTGAAGATCTGAAAAATGAATTACCTCCATCTGGGGGGGTTGTTTTCCACCTGAGGAAGACCTGTCATGCTGGTTTGGATAACTGCAGGTCAGGCTTCTGTTGGAGGGAAAAACAGAGGATCTGCTCTGCCGTGCACCACCTCAAATGTGGATGATGGCTGTTGGCATGAATGGAATCTTCCTCTTCCACCATCACCCTCATTTTAATCAAGGAATGGGTTGCAAYGAATCGGGTAACTGAGAGGATGATGAGCCTGATGCCTTGTGCTCCTTCTGCTCCCACTGCCCCCCAGCAGCATGACCCTGGACCTCACTTCCCTCCTCCAGAACCTGAGGAAAATGGCACAGCAGCAGACCTGTGCTGGTTGAGCTCCCACTGCCTCCAAACTGCTGCATTTTGGTATGGTAYCAGTAACAAAGAACTGCAAGGAAGATATTAACAGTTCATTTTTTTTATTTAATTTTGTCTTTAAACAAAGCACCAGTGAAGTCAATGTCAGCTACAAAAAAAATGCAAGTTCCAGGACYAACCACTTTCTCTCACCCTCCTTCATTTCTCAGATAATTCAGGGAGACCTCCATTGATTATTTGTCCTCCTCAGGACCAAACACTGTCTGAGATCAAGACCAGGAATGTGAGGAAAAGGCCTGTTTTCCACAGATGAAAACAAAGATAGAGGCCAGGAGTGACACCATCACCTGCCACCACTTTCCAGCCCTAAGCCATCTTCCAGAACTGGGGGAGTGTTGGATTGGGTCTCTCCTCTCCAAAGGCTCCCCAATAGGTTCCAATGCCCTCCTAAATCATGCCTAAACGACTGATACAAGATGCCATAGGGGTAAGCTAGAAAGTGTTTGGAAATACCACAGGATTATCCCTTCCCAAAAYAGCTGAACATGGAAAAATGCCGTCCCTCTGCCTATAGCATGRATTCATCCTTCTGCCAGCACCAAGAGCCCTGGCAAAGGCCCCCCTGCCCTGTCAGCATCACCGCTCTCCTAACATCCTGAATTGTACTCCTGAGGACTCACAGGCATCACATATCCGGGATTTTTATCCAGGTACTCTGGCTTCACTCCACTGTGTCTTATTACATAGGACCAAGCCATAAATCAGCCGTGTGCCCCACTCCCCGCTGCCACTGCAGACAGTGAATGCATCATGTAGGAGCCTTGCTGATATCCATCCTTTGGTGCAATATTCCGTGAATCCGAGCAGAAGCAGTGATTACAGCCATGGTACTGATCATATTTTGTGTGAGATATCCTCAGCTGCCATGGAACTCACTGTCTTAGGCATAAGGATGGTTCAATAAAAATGTGTATATACAAGCCTGATAAGACAAAGACTATTTTTTAGCTTTGATTTCAGAATTAGGCTAGAAGAACTAAACTAAAAAGAAAGTAATTTTGTATTAAATACCATTAGTAGCTTTGTCATCCAATGTAGTAAAAAGAACTTCCTTCCACTTCCTTCAGAAATGACAAATTAACTCCAAATCAGAAATTGAACTATTGGGGAAAAAGTAGATAGTTGCATTAAGGCTTATCCTGGAAAAMTAACTTGTGTTTAGGTCTACSTTTTAAGGACGGGCTGCCAAACTAWACCACGTGTCCTATTACATGTGTATTTATAGGCCAAGCCAAAGCAGCCGTGACTGCAAATCACCCCAGGAAAACAGGAAACCCTCGGATAGCACAGCTCCTTCACCACTCCTCGATCAACAGCAGAGAGAGCAATGCCTGTAACACACATCCAGGACAGCAAGAGCGCTTTTGCATGCAAGTATCAGACTTGGTCTCCTTAACAGCAACCTAGAATGGCTGCAAGCAAATGTCTTAACAGGATTTCGTTAACGGCTGCAACGAGTGTTCCTTTTGAAGCTGTTCTCTTGCCTCTCGGTAAGAAGATTGAAACCTTTACCTGTAAATAATGCAGCGGCATTTAAACGTGTGCTTTATTCACTGCTTTTCTCAGGTCTGATTATTTAGCTGGAACGCAGGGATTACACACAGCCGACGTTTCCCCCGGTCCCGCCCCGCCGCGATGGCGGCCCGTCCGCTCTGGAGGCTGCTCGGGAGCCGCCGCCCGATCCTCCCGCTCCTCCTGTTCCACCGCCCGATCCTCCCGTTCCACCGCCCGATCCTCCCGCTCCTCCCGATCCACCGCCCGATCCTCCCGCTCCTCCCGCCGCTGCCGAGCGCCGCCCGCGCTGCGCACCGAGCCCCAGGTACCGCCCGCAGCACGGGGAGGAAGGGAGGGAAAGGGCATCCCTGTCCTCGCCTCTTCTGGCCGCGTTAGCGTGCTCTAGGTTATTGTCTTGTCCTAAACTTTAGTAACTGTAAGTAGTTTTTCTTGTGGAACGATCATTTTCAAATTCATTTCCCCCTCCGCCCAGTCTCATCTCTACCTTGTAAGAGATGAATGMAGACAAATGAATTCATTCCTCAGGAGCTGGTTGTTTTTCAAGGATCCCGTGCTGTTGGGAGGCAGACTAGGAAGTAGTTCCCCACCTCAGATTTTTTGATTRGGAAGGTATTATATTGTTTTACTCACTGTTTTTCAGCCAGTCTATTAATTCTTTGCCAATCCCATAGCACCGTGATTGTTCTGCATGGTGCGTACAGACTCRCAGGATGCGCTGCTGGAGGTTGGCACCATGATGGGTGATTACTGCTCTGCTGTTGGATGTTCCTCATTTAACTATGGTCCTGTTTCTCTTGGGCTGTGGCTTTCTTCCAGTGCTCCTTCTCAGCACTTTTCACTGGGGCTTGTGGAAGCTGCTTGTGTTAACAGCCCATAAATGAACATTAGTTCTGGTTTTGGAGGGTTTCCAAGACGTTTGYCAAACCTTTCAGTGATGCCCAGGGATGAAGGAGGAGCACCAGCAGACCAGCAATYATCCTGAGCCAGGGCAGAGGGCTGCACTGGGAGAGTGGGTGGTACCTTGAGTCATAGGTACCCATTTCCTTTACAAGCCTTCCCAAGCAGTTGCTGGAGCTGCTCTCTGGATGTAGCACCCCAAATGGAAAGCAGATGCAAAGTCCTGCCCTCAGCCCTGCTCRTGTCCCTGACCTGCCCTCTGTGCTTGGTCTGTACCCACAGAGACCTTGGGAAAACTGAGATGATGATAAAAAGCGTCAATGGAATCTACGTTATCTTACTAAATTATCTTTGTATATCTAATTGAAGACACAGGCTCTCTGACTAAACAAGCTGAAGCAACTGCTGCTACAGACTGGAAAAAAAAATTGACTCCGGAGCAATTCTATGTTACACGAGAAAAAGGAACTGAACCGGTGAGCAAAAGTGCTAATGGTGTCCAAGGGTGAGCCACCTCCTCTGCCTGCTGGGCACAGAAAAACCTGCCCTGGGGAGCTGTCACCACTCAGTTTCTTCACAGGATTTCCCCTGCCTTCCTGTGGATGAAAATTAGATTCAACGTATGGAATGGGGTGGATTTTATTCTGAYCCAGACTGTTTTGCAGATGGAAAAAAAATCTGCATTATTTCCATATTTTATTGGGTTTCTTTCTGGGATACTTTGCTGCCAGATCAGCTATCTGTGTGATAGGAGTAGAGGCCTCTCCAGAGGAGAGAGAGATCATATTTTTGTCCTGTAGTCTCCTTTTTTGACCATATGTAGATTAGCCATGGACATCTSAATCTAGCATTGCCTTCAGGAGATGGGTTATTCCTCATGTGCCAGATCACCCATCCACATTCCCACCTTTCCTGCTTCTGTTATATGGTGACCATGTAGCGTTGTGGCTGGAGTGCTGGTTGTCCCTAGCCCCAAGGCAGAGCTCCTGCACACATGGATCATGTACAATGGGATTGAGCCATGTGAACTTTGCCCAAATCCWTATTTGTAAAATAGGGATCCCAGGATCGGACCATGCCGGAAGGGGGAGAGTCCCTTCGTAAACCACTTTAAAGTTGTGGCAGTTCATAGCAGAACCCTGGCCTTTGGGATCCTGCACATTTCACCAGTTTTTTGGAGGTCATGACTCCATGCTTGGTACCTGGATGATTTATTTATCTGACTGGTCTCAAAGTTTGTGGGGGTAGGGGGTAGTCCTCACCACTAATCCAAAGGCATCCTCTCCTTCATTTCTTCAGGCTGCTAATGTTTGTTCTTCAAAGCCCCCCTGCAAAGCCTTCTTTTTATGGTTTTTCTCCTGTTTCGAATCTGATTCTTACATGCTTGTTCCAGATGGTGAGCTTTTAAAGACCTGCATTATTAACTTCTCTTTTTTCCTTCCTATTTTAAAAGCCATTCAGTGGGCTCTATCTGAAYAACACAGAATCAGGAATATACTGCTGTGTATGCTGCAATGCCCCACTCTTCAGGTAATATCCTTTGGCTTTCACAACATCTTTAACATGTACTAATTGTGGCATGAATGGCATGGAAAGTGTGGGTCAGAAGAGCAATCCCTTGGTGCCCAAGTGCTGTGTGTAAGTCTTGCAGGATACCTTGCAGGATACACATGCATGGTGCTCCTTTTCCCTGAGCTCATGAGGATTGCCAGTGCCTGCACACAGCTGTCACATTATGGTCTATGCATTTTTCCTGACATGTACTGTGCTTTTTGGTTGATGATAATTCATTGTTTAAGAGGTCCTTAAGCCACAAGGTGCCACAAAATACGTGTATGTATGCATGGTATCATAAACACATAAAACATGTGTTTTCTCAGTTTGTGTGCTCCCCATACTCATCTTCTTTCACTCGTGCTGGAGGGACCTTGGTGTGCGTTTGTCGAGTGTTGTGATGTTCTTATTGTGGGATCCCTCACATTGGAGCTGAGACCTTCTCTTCACCCCCACCCCCTCCTAAATTCCCTAAATTACACTCCAATATTCTTGCCTTTTTGGTTACATTTACTTCTTAAAGCCTGTCTGCAAATGACTGCACAGTTAACCTCTGTGCTCTTTACAATACTGTGTATTTTGCAACTGCATTAACGTCTAAGTAAAAGGAAATAGAGTGCCTTGGAGTAGGATGTGCAGAGGGTGTTCTATTCTCTGTGACTGAAGCAGGAAAGACAGTTTCTTATATTTTTGGTCTAGAAAATAGTCCTTATTTATTCCCAGCTGAGAACTGAGTGGAATGTGGCTGATATGCCCACATTTATGAAGACTTTGAAGGATGAATCACRGATCAGAACTTCAAATGGGATGTCAAGGATCAAGAGATCTGGGTAGTAAGAAAGGAGGGGAACATGTAATTAATGTATTGAAAATAAACCTAAACTAAGAAATTGAATTATGATTGTGTGCAATTAGTTTTCCATTGGCCAAGTKCAGAAAACTATTCTTATGCAAACATGCATTTGCTTAAATGTATGATTTTCTGTGGAGGTTTGCTAATGAACACTTCTAAATAAATTTATTTCTGATGTTAGCACAGCATTACAAAATATTCTGAAGGCAAATATAAAAGCAAAAAATACCTCTGGAAAATTMAGATAAATTAGAGAAATTTTAAATTACTAAGCTGTGGAAGAGTTCCTTCAACAGGCATCTTTTATATGAGACAATTGATATTGACAGACGAACATGAAGAGAGACAAACACAGGAGGGAATTGCTTCTGTTGTTAAACTAGTGACAAAACAGCAATATAACCAGTCAGGCTGCCTTTTGCACTGTCCAGCCCTCAGACAATATAAGTACTTTTCTTCATGACACAAGATAATGCAAAGCCTTGCAGACAAAAAAAAAGCCAAACTTTCAGGAAGAAAAAAAAATAAAAAGCCTTGTAAGAAAATTGGAAACTACAAAATGTGCAAAATTATCTGAAAATGTATTTTCCATGGAGGTGTTACGCGGTGGAGAACATTAGCAATGAGGGGGAGAAATGGTATTGGATAAGAGATTCATTCATCATATTTATTTCCTAGTCCATTAAAAATGTTCTTTCTTTTTCAAATGCATTAGATCATTAGCTACAGGTAAACATAAAGTATTTCTTCCTTTCTTTGAAACATATGTGTATACATTTATACCAGAATTTATTACCTTCTGTTACCAGATATTCATTTGAAAGAGTTGGAAATACATGGAACAAACCCCTAACCTTTAAAGATAGCAAATTGTGGTGCTTTAATGAAATCTCAAACCTTCATCAAACCATAAACCTACAGCTGAGATTCATACAGCAAAAAGCACTTTTTAGAATTATCTGGATTCCATCCAGGACGACTGAAATAGGGATCAAAGTAAATGACATGTGCTGGAGGAATGGTGTGTCGAAGGCTAATCTAATGCATATGTYTAGGGAAAGTCCATTTATCCATAAATTAAGTGGTGAAATACTTCAAAGGACAAATATGATCTTGAACAGCAGTATTTTTGGGTACTAAAATGTTTCTATTAGGGAATCTAAGTGATATTACTGTTAATAAAACCGCACAGAGACCATTTCTGTTGAGAGCTAGTTTAACAGCTCAAAAGATTGTTCTTTTAGCAATGGAAAGCATCTACAATAAACTTAAGTATTGTGAGCGGCATGTAGGGGACAGTCAGGGTCAAATGCAAAAACCACGCAGTGCAAAAGGCCTTGACTCTGTGGGTTTTCAGAAAGGATCTTTYTGAAAACAGAAAAATCTTTCTGTGTCTGTGTGTAAATACACCTAAGAGTCTCTGTGTCAAAAAATAAGAGTTTTGGTAAAAAAGAACAAAGCAGATGTATGTCAGGGAAGCTCAGAAGACATTTGTTGATATGTGTTCCCCAGGTTGTTTTTGGGATTCTGTGGCTGGTAGGCACAGTATTCATGTGGTTTTGAGGCAGGGAAAGCAAKGAGCCCTCTTTGGCTGGAAAGAAACACACCTGGAGCCCTGAAAACCTTCACAAACACAGAGTCTGCAAACTGCTTTTGCTTCAGAGCTCCTGTGCYGTGTCCTATTTCTCTCCAGTTTTACAGAGAGGAGGGAGAACATTTCTCATGGCTATTTGTGCATCGATGTAAAGGACTAAGCAACAGCCCACACWAAAACTAGCCTTTGGTCATTCTGTGCTTGCAAATCCTCTTTTATTTCCACTGCTGCATTACTCAGTGGCAGCYCTGTAAAGATGTTTATAGAAATGCTGACTCACACACTGCTCTTTGGGTTGGATTTTTTAAGCTTTTTGTCCAGCTTGTTTGTCATGTCTTAATGAAAGAATATACAAAATGTATACCGAAATGTGCTTGATATATACCACATATTTTGGTTTAAATTCTGTCTTAACTAACGTTTTAATCCCCTTGCTCAAACGCTGCTGCTGGTGTTGATGTCTCCATCCACCACTAGATGCCAGTAAGAGCATTGGRTTTGGACAAAAATCATGGGAAACCGAGAGGAAGTGGTTGTGATGAATCTCCAGACCGTTTACCTGAGAAGTATATGAACCTACCATCATTTCTTGTTCTAACTCATGCTAGGTCCCTCTTCAATCAGAGAAGGTTCATATTGCTGTCAAAACTTGCACAATTTTAAAGAGGAGGGATTATCTCATTTCTATACCAAATCCCCAAAATATCTTCTGATCWTATTTTCCAATATGCTCTAGGTTTTAATATGCAGCTAAACAATGTTGGTCATCTTGGATGTTAACAGGGAACACCCATAGATTGACAGTCTGTTGTGCTGTTTCTTTTGGCTGTGATTATCTCTCGGGAAGAGTAAATCTTTGTGTTGTGAGGATTTGTCATTGGTTGATGGATGGTTTGAGCAAGGCTCTGTTTGATTTTCTGAACCAGCTTGATGGCTGACTGCAAGACAAAGCCATCACCATCAGGCACGAGCCTGGTCTGGTGGGCCAGCCCAGCCTTTGTCTATTCATTTCTTCTTGAAAACTCTCTTCTCTGAGATTGCTGGATTGGGCCAGGCTTCAGACTGCAGCTTTGTAGGTGTAATTCAGTTAAAYGCTGCAGCATGGTGTTAGTATAGTACCGTTGTCAGGAAAAAACCCTTTTCCAAGCTTTTTAAAATATCAACCTGTCACTGAAATAGAAACAGTGAGGCAAAATCTCCTGTTGTGAGCTGATTAAGAATTCCCTTTGTAAAAGCGTTTCCAGCACGGTTTGATGCCAGTGAGAAAACTTCTAYTGTGCCAAATTTTATTAATAGTGGTACAATCCAGGAATAAGGGAAAAAAAGCCGATGTTTTTAATAGAAGCAGACTCTTCTTTAACATCCCTGTTGTTAATTAACAAGAAGATCTGGTTTCCACTATAGCTCAGAAAAGAAGTACAACTCTGGGACTGGATGGCCGTCGTTTTCTGAGGCTTATGGTGCTTGTGGCAGAGATGAAAGTAATACCAATATCACGAGACGACCAGACAACTCACTGGGATCAACTAGAACTGAAGTTGTCTGCAAACAGGTATGTTTATGATGGAGATGATACACAAAGACACAAATCTTAGCAGATAAGGTGTGCCCATGAATGAATCTACCTAAATGCAGCACTGAGAATTACAGTTTTACTGGAGCCATTCTGTCTCAGCCTGGGGTGAAGAAAWGTGTGTGAAGGGGAAAGCAGTTGTRTATGTATAACCAAGAGCTGGAGTTTAGACAGAAAAGTTACCCAAAGTGTGCTGCAAGGTGTGACAAGAGACAGCAGAAAGGACTCTGATATAGGGTCCAGGCATTTGGCCCAGCACAGGGACAGTTCTTCCTCATTCAGTCTTGCAAAATATTTGCTGTTCTTGAAATATGCAGAGACTGAGGCAGCAGCCATTGAAGCCATTTGCAGCCATTATTATTTGCTCTGCAGGTGGCTGTGCCCTGCATCTCCAGACCTATTTTCTATGGATTCTCTTGTTTCACAGAAGCCACCCTTCTATTTTTTCTAGCTATTTTGACTCCCTCAGTCATCTCTCTTCTACACTAGAAAGGTCCGGTTCCTTCAACTGTTCTTTTTATGCAGTGCTTTGTAGTGTGCTGATGATTCTTTTGCTCTGCTATTCATTCTTCCCAGCTGACCCTTTTGCTTCTTGAAGTAGAGTTCAGGGCTGGACAGAGCACTGCAGCTGGGCCAGCCTGCAGCATGGGTTAGAGTCTGTTCAGGTGTATTAGAAACACCTTTACCTTTCCACAACCCATATTACACAGACACATATTTCTTTTGGGACCTGCTGTAATAATCAGGCTCTTTTTCTAAAGAATTGCCACCCCTAACCATTTCTTCCTAATTCTGGATCTGTTTTTTACTTTTGTGAAGGTATAAAATTTTGTAATTGGGATGAGGAGATAGGACTCAAGCTGTACCAGGGAAGGTTCAGGCTGGACCTCAGGGGGAATTTCTTCATGGAAAGGGTGTTAAGCATTGGAATGGAGTGCCAGRGAGGTGGTGAAGTCACCATCCCTTGAGGTGTTTGAAAAGCAACTGGACATGGCATTTAGTGCCRTGGTGGTGATCAATCAAAGATGGATTCTGTGTACTGAGAGGTCTTTTCCAACCTAAGTGATTCTGTCATTCTGTAGCTATACAATAATGAAATGGTGATCATTTCTRTTGCAGTGTGATGCCCATCTAGGCCACGTGTTTGATGATGGACCTGCACCTTCTGGGCAGAGGTTCTGTATCAACAGTGTTTCATTAAACTTCAAACCAGGCTCTGCTCAGTGAGGAGGGTCTCTGACTTGCAGAACATTCTTTCTCTGCTCATACGGCACACTTGTGAAAAATTCTGCTTTTAATATATAACTCMAATTTTAACATTTATGCTGTAGTAACTTTGTTTTCCCCCTGTTACCGTTGATAAAATACATATTTTTGTTGTAACTCTGGCAGTCTATCTTTTCATGGTTGGTGCAATATGTTGATCTGCTTATTGTATTTTTTAATTAAAAAACCCAAACCTGTGCAATAGTTCACATTCACAGCTATCATCATTAACTGTATTGAGGCTGCTGAAATGAGGTGTTCTCCTGAACCTGACTGCCAATTCAGAGCAGTAGTTGTGGCACTCAGGAATGCAGCTGTACGTGGCTGACCGTGGCAGAGCTTACACTTCTGTAAAATCATCATATCCTTCTAAAGGGAAGCAACAATAACATGAATCTTTAAATAAGGTCTGAGGGTTTTTTTCCCCTGATGTGAGAGACCTTGAGCTGAGCCACGTGACTTTTCTGTGATCCCATAAAAGCAAAGTCCTCAAGGAGGAACTGATTGAAACTATGTCAGGCAATGGAACCAGTGTAGACATGGAGTCTTTCTTCTTTTAAATAAATTATTTTGATTCTGTGTCCAATAGCAAAGCTGAAATGGGGTTTGCTCCAGAAATTTCTCTTACAGCAATTATATGATAATAATGTAATGATGTGTAATATCTTCAGCCTTCTGTTATCACTTGTGTGTTTTAGAATCCAAAAATAAAAATTAATATCAAATTTACTGTATTTGGGGGAAATAAATCAGTATAATAAATCAGTTTGGTAAAGTGATGCTTTTGATGCCTTGTCTGTTCTTCCTTGTACAAATTTGTAAATACTTCTGCATTCTCCCAAGCATTGTCATTATGATTTGCCCTAACAGCAAAATAAATCCTATGTCTGTTAAACTGAGCTTTCCTTCCTTCAGAATTTTTTCCAGAGAAAATAATCTCTGACTCAGAACATCAGCTTCACTAAACTGGCTGGGTTTAAATGCTTCCCTGCTGAGAGTTACTAGGCAACATCTCATTTGGTTTTACCTACACCAGACTGTTTCCATTCTCCCCACTTTGGTTGCCTCMGTGATAAAAAGTGTGCTTTCATCTACCAGTGTAATCTTAAAGCTGTTTAATGTCTTCAGAARATGGACCTTTGCTGCACTGAATTTACTTCTGCTCTTTCTGTCTTGGAGCTCTGTGGTTTTTCATTCTCCTGTGCATTCTACAGGAGAACTCTGCAATTCCATAACTTTTAAAAACATCATAGAGACAACGGTCACTACAGCCAAACTGATGGCAGAAAGGCCACCAGAGGTGAGAAGCAGCATGACTCAATAAGAGACCTGGTGCTGCTGGTTTTCAGTAGTGTCATAGTTGGTGACAGTCCCATTGCCATCAGAGATGTCTTTCAACAATTTGCTGTGCCTGTGCTGCCTCATGCTTTGCCTCCCAGGGGTGCCCCTGCAGCACCCACTGTTGCCTGCCTGCCCTGACCAGGCTGTGCATGCCCAGCCTGCTCTGATCTGTGTTCTCAAGAGCCTTCAGAGCTTGTACAGAAATCACTGTCTTTGCACGCTCTGAATCCACGTGCCCCTCCTATTCTGATATRCTTTCATCCACTGTTTGTTTTTCTTAAAATCTGTTGCACAGCTACTGCTTAGGTTATTTAATCTTTAAAGGCATTTTTTACTCAGGCAGCCTTCTCCCCTCTCCTTGCCTTTCTCAACAGGAGAGGGTTCTCTCGGAAMGGGAAAAGGTATTCCCCCGTGGACTCTTGTGTTCAGCCAGGTGCTGGTGGGAGGAGCCAGCACCTGCCTTAGAGCAGTGACTTTTGGCTGGGATACYGATGGAAATGTTCCTCATTTATGCAAGTGGCTGCAAGTAGAACAGAGCTGGCAAAATACCTGTTTATTTCCTTTTCCCAGARATTCCAGGTCTCGCTGGCACCTTTTACAGATGCAAGTACCATACAAACAAAACAGACCATGAAGCTGAGAAAACAAATACCCACACTGACCTGTGTGSAAACCACTTTTAGTTTGGTACCATGGATGGATGAACCTGGTTGGTGGAGATCACTGAGCAAACACTGCAAAGCCCCCGAGACACCACGCACTGGGATAAGCAGCCTTGTTCTGCTTCAAGAGAAATGGGGAAAGGGGATTTGACTACGTGTGTAAAATCAGAGTAATGGCACATCACCTTTCAGTGTGGTGTAAACTGCTGGACATTTGAGACCTCTGACCAAAAGCTCTTTGGGGCAGTGCACTTCATTATCCTCTGTGTCTGTGGTACCAGCCACACCAGGACAGGTCCCAACTAAAGGCCCACAGTGTCATAAGATAATGAAAAATAAAGACCAGTAAAAATGGAAGGCATTATTAAAGAGTGCCATAGGCGATAAGAATTTCCTCATGTAACTGCAATACTTTGTTCCACCATAGTGAATAAGGAACAGTTGCTTTTATGAGCTGAACATACCCTGCCAGGCAACTGCAGATTTTTGTTCCATCCTTCTATCTGAGGACTTTTTTGGGTGGTTATTTCATTAATTAGTTTCAATGATGGTACTTTTTATCCCATTGTGTTTTTAAATAGCCTTTGTATAAATCATAATTGAGGTTTCTACATAATTCTGAAGAGATTTTTACATATTAAACTATTCAATGACTGTCTTTACATCATGTCTACAAGTCAGGTAACTATTCTCCATTTTACCGAGGGAAGACTTGATGAGAAAAATTTAATTGACTTGCTCAAGACTTTGAATGAAATTTGCAGCTAGGCCAGAGTTAGACTCTGTAAGGYTCATGACCACATCCGTTTATCAGACCCCGCTTTTTCAAAACTTGCCTTGGTATTTGAATATTTAGTGGGGAGAGGGATGTAAATTGTTAAAAGAGAGGAGGTAAACTTAGCATGAGGTTTTCCAGCTACAGTATTAAAACCATATCTGAGCCAACATAGRCAACTTGGCTCATAAAGAACAATACCTGGCCTCTTTCTAAGAACAAATGTGGTAAGAGCTTGGTTAGAAATTGGAGGAAAGAAAGAAAACAGAAAGAAGGAACAGGTTACTCTTATATTACAAGACTCTTCACTCAGAAGAAARTCAGAATGGCAGATATGGGCAGAAATCATAATACCCATTATTTTAACCGTGTGTCCACAGAGTTGTAGTGATGTTATTTTCTGTTGCATCATGCTACAGATCATTTGGGTTCTTGTTTTATGCTTGTGGATGGCCTAGTCTGATTTCCATCAGAACTTGAAAGGAGGGAGGCTATTCTCAGTGCAAATACAGGATTTTTTTCCACCCTAAACATGTCCAGCGTGAGGTGACTGGACATAGCCTGCATGACAAGGAACTGGAAAAGTGTCAGCTTGGGTTTTCCTTTTTTTTTTTTTTTTCTCCTGAGTATTTAGCTAGTACTCCTGAGCACGTTTGTATTTTCTGGTCTTAAACCTTAGCCCTACAGTGTAGAAGAAATAAGTCCTGTCACCACACGGCTCCACTGCCTCCTCTTTCATTCTCTTAATGACTTTTTGCACTGGGCAGTGAAGTGTTTTAAGCCATGCTCCTGTGCCTGCCCCACCTCCTGGCGTGCCCGAGTGATGAGCTGATGGCAGCACTGCCCTCACAGCACTTCATGTACTGCTCAGCACCGCTCACCCTCATGGATCTCGCAGCTCTTCACACACAAATGATGCCTCGCCCCGGCCCTTTGAGGTGGTGGTGAGCCACAGAACTGGAAGCTGAGGGACAGCTGTGGGAAGTGACTCGCCCACAGTCCCCTGGGGCAAGGCAGGCAAATCTGATTACAGAAAGGGTTCTCAAAAGCTCTCCAAGTGTGAGCTGCTGCCAAAATTCACAAAGGCAAAGTAGTTTAAAAGCAAGGCTCTTTATTGAAGAAGTGCCCAGATTTTTTCAAGACTAAAAGAATTTGTCTCAAGGCAGGTGTGTCCATGGGGACTGGTTTTAGTAGCACTGAGGAATTTGTGTGAAAGAGATTGGCTGCTCGCCATGGGGCAAAAGAAAGATAAATGCATGCCCATTATTGCGCTCCCTTTTACTGTCTTCTCTTTTGTTGTGGTGTTATTTTTTTTTCTGTTGCTCTGTGCTATCCTTCCTCGCTCCTCCTCCCTGGGCTCTGTCTCCCTTGASTGCACTCACCCTTACCTTCGTGCCTGAACCCTCCCGGCTCCGCACTCAGTTCGCTCCKCTTGGTGCGAGAGATGAGCAAGCGCACGGTCCGAGTCAGCAGCTCCCTGCCTGTGCCGGGGGTGGCTGCGGGGATCCGGCCGGGTGGATCGGGACATTGGAACCGCTGCAGGCTCCGGGGACTGCATCCCCGGCAGGCTCCGGGCATTGAATCCCCTGCCAGAGCAAACGCCGGCTTTTGCTCGCCTGCTTTGCACACACAGTTTGATAACACGACTTCGAGAAGAACTCATCAGCAGCAGAGAAGTTGCCACAGGAACCAGGAAAAATAAGCAAAAAAAAGTCTTAAGGGATTCTTGCATAGCCTGCTTCATTCAGGAAACAAAAGCTGTGCTGCCCTGCTGTATTACTGATGCAGATGTGTGGACCACAACCAGGTCATCTTTGCTCAGGTGTCCTTTGTGGAAGATCAAAAGATGGATCCAGACAACTTGTAATAGCAGGAAATGAYAGGAAAGAACAGCAACTGATATCCAGCTGCTAAGAAAGAGGGACAGGCAACACAGAGGAGGGTGCTGGAATCAGAGATGATGAGAATCCATGTCTTCCATTTCAGAGGAGTCAGCACTGAAGGCTGGTCACACAGCTGGTGGATGTCAGCTGAAGAACTGTCTGTGAGCTCTCGGAAATGGGAGAGCTGAGATCAATCCTCCCTGGTGTGAAAGTCTCTTTGGGATAGTTCTGACAGAGACATGGGATGCCTATRCATTTTCTGGAATTACTGAAGGAGAAAGCCTTGTGAAGGGCTAGGATATGAGSAGTGCTAGAAGCAGGTGTTCATGTTTGGGAAGCTCAGGAGATTGACCTCACTGTTAATCAGAATACCAGGTGCAAAATGAACCCGCGTACATTGACTGACCCAGCAATGACCCTATCCCAATCTAGAAAATGTTCCCTCCCTATTACAGCCTTTACATTTTAGCTCTTAGTCCTGGGCCTCTCCTGAATGCACTTGGGTATTCACGCTAGGATCCATTATAAACAAAGATTGTTAAACCTTGTCATGTACAATATGTCTAGCTGGAGTTTCCTTAGGCCCCCAGAGAAGGAAAAAAGGGGCCTCCATGACACAGCTCCTTGTCAATAGCTCAAAAAACCTCTGGGCTTGGTCTGGGGCATTTTCCAAAACCGGATCACATGTAACTTTCTATGACCTTGTAGCCTTCACTTAAGTTTTATGAATGAATCTCTATTAAAAGCGGGGGGTAAATGTTTTTCCTTTGTCCCTCTTTCAGTTTACAAATTTGTCTTCTCCTATAGCCAGCTGTTAAAAGATTGGTTCTGCCCCTGCTTTCACCTTTCCTGTTTTATCAGCTGAGACGTCAAACTGAGGGCCTGACCACTTGGTGTTAAAGATCCATGGCTTTTTTTGTAAGGCAGTGGCCTGGCCAACTCTAGACTCTAAATGCTGCCTTGTCTTGCAGTTTGAGTTAGCCTCTGGCACCCTAAATCCTGAGGCGTCGTTGCCTTGAGCAATGAACAGCTTCTCTGTCCTAATTCAGGGGTGACAGCAGTTAAGCAGTAGGTTTAAGAAACATGTATTTCTGGTGTGTGAGCAGTGCTGAGAGGCTCGATTCTTTCAGCTCTTGCAAATTGTTCGACATGCACAGAGGAAAAGGGCTGTAGAAATGCTTATGATGGCTTATTATTTTGGTCCTGTTGCTATT